GCAGCTAATTATCAACCGCAGCAAAGAGGTGGGTGCTGCAGGAGGAACAGTTGGTGTCAGGGTTGGTGAAAGAGTGGAGGGAGACAGCATGTCTGCCTTGCAGGAATAGGCCTTGGGCTACTGATGGTGATTTTGTGGGGTTAGAGGAGGTCAGAAGATGTGGCCTCCTTGCCTCTTTGGCACTACCACAGTGGGAAAAAGAGTATCAGTTTCTAAATAAAGGATTAATAAAAGAATAAATTTCATAAAAATAAAAAAGTTATTAAATTCTAGTTAGATTACTACTGATTGCTGAAGGCTCTGAGCATAAGACCCTTTCTCTGTTGAAAGGAGAAATAAGTGTTCAAGAGGTGTTGAAAACATTAGGAGGACTTCCTGAACCTGTATTTATTTCCTTTCCCCCCCGAAACCACAGTAAAATGTCACTAAAAAAAAAAAAAAATTAAAAGTAGCTATAAAACTATCAAGAACAAAGAGAATGGGAGCAGACACAACAGCAGAAAATAAATATCAGCAAATTTCTGAAGGAGGACAAAGTATGGAGAAAGTGTAGCTGAGGTAGCAGCACACAGAAAGCAGAAACCTAAGTGCCTGAAGAAATAAGAACCAATGAAGATGGGGCAATCCTTATCCCAGAATCTCAAAAGTTTCAGGCATTGGAGGCACCAGGTACCTTGGCGGCCAAAGACTGAAAACAGGAGAATTAGTTGAAAGATTGTATAAGAAGGGCCTAGACAGCTCCCCTCAACCCCGACTCCACTGCCCTAAACCCCACCCCAACTATCATTTCAGAAAGAGATGGGAGGTTTATGGTCTGGATAAAATGAAACAGAGCATCACTGGGGGACTCCAGGAACAATGCAGGATGAGGGTAAAATTCTGTACTGAAAACATGGAGAATCTGGATAAGGTACAATAGAAACACCACTATCACACCTGCCTTTACCCCCTGCACTCCTAGACCACTAGAAGTCAGGCTTATTATTCCCATCCCTGCCTCTCCTTCCCCACAACATGTTTAAAAAGTTTTCTCTAGAGAAACTAAATAGTGTCAGAGAAATGACCTAAATTGACTGGCATTTCGGGTCCTGCAGAAGAAAGGCCATCTCCTGACCATTCTCCCTTTGGAGAAGCCAGCCACTTAAGTAAGTCCCACTCAAGTACATAAGCTCCCAATTCATTTTCTAATGTGTCTTTCTTAAATTTGTACAATCAATCAAGAATTGCCAGATACCTGAGTAAAGTCTTTAAGATCTCCATTGCTCAATCTCTTTGCAGGATCCTTTGTGGTCATCTGTGGTGGTTATGTTTTTGTGTCAGCTTGGCTGGGCCTGGTTGAGTGGCTGGGCAGCTGATGGTAATTATTGCCCATGACGAGACTGGCAATCAACTCCATGGTGGGATCTACCACAAGCAGCTGAGTAGTTGCCTTTGGGATATGGTCTGCTTCCTGTATAGAAGGAGAAGCCTTGGGAATGGTCTCTAGTTTATGGCATGCTTGAACCCTGCATGTAGTCATGTCATTGTTCAGCAGCCTGCCATCCTCTGCTGACCTTGGGACTTACAGTGGACTTGAATTAATGGCCTGCCGTGTGATTTGGTATTATTGGTACTGTGCCTTTTTACCTGTCAACCTTGGATCTGGTAGCTTCAGCAGCCAGCAGCTGTCTGAGTGAAGAAAAGCCTCTAGCTTCAGTGGGCCGGGATCTGGAGGTAGAGCTGAAGACCAAGGCTGAGGGGCTTTCACCCAGCCCCTAGAGCTTGGCACTTTGAACTTGGACTTAAACCCTCCAAACTGTAAGAGAATAAACTCCTGTTGTTAGGGCCATCCCATTTGTGGTATATATTCTTGTCAGAGTGACACTAGATAACCAGAACATCATCTTCTTGATTTCCTAATGTTGGAGGGCTCCAGGTTCAATCCTTAGTCCCCCTGTCTTTATCTACACCCACTCCCTTGAAGATTTCATCCATTCTCATGGCTTTAAATCACCTTCATGTGCCAGTGACTCCTGAACTTTATTTCTAGCTTAGATTTCTCTCCTAAAATGCAGATTTATGTATCAATCTGCCTATTCTCTGTTTCTACTTGGAGACAAACAACACTGCATTAGTCAATTTGTGATGCAATGACAAACAATCTGAATATCTTAGTAGATAGATTACAAAGTCTAAAGCCTCTGCCTGGTTGTAGAATGCATTACATCTCAAATACAACATATCAAAACTGAACCTTCTGGTCTTCCTCCCCATATCTGTTCCTCTTCCAATCTTCTCCTTATCAGTTAATTGTTACTTCATGCTTTGGGATTCTCAGGCCAAAAATCTGGAAGTTGTTTCGACTCTTCTCACACCCCACATTTATTACAAGAAATTCTAGTGGTTCTACCCTCAAACTATATTCAGACTCTGACTGTTTCTCATTGTCTCCACTGCTATCACCTTGGCTCAAACCACCATTGTCTCTTGCCTGGATTTTTGCAGTAGCCTCTTAATTGAATTTTCTGCTTCTACCCATACATCCATATAGACTATTCTAAGCAAAGTAGACAGGTTATTCCTTTGAAAATATAAGATTATATTACTTTTCTGCTAAAACTCTATAATGGCTTTCCATTTTACTCACAAAAAAAAAAAAAAAACCTGTGTTCCTATAGTGGCCTTCAAGGCTGTACATGATCCAACCTCCATTGCCTCTAAGACTTTGTCTCCTACCATTTTTTCCCAGACTCACTCTTCTCCAGCCACATTGACCTCCTGGCTAACTGAACAGGAACATTCCCACCTCAGGGCCTTGTGCTGGTTGTTCCTTCTACTTCATCAGCTTTTCCTCTAGATATTCACATGGCTAATTCCCTCACTTCCTTCAAGTCTTTCCTTAAATCCTTTCTCAGTGAGTTCTACACTGACAATAATATTTAAAATTGTTTCTCACCGCTATCCTTCCTTATGGTGATCTCTCTTTTCTATTTCTTTTTTTCATACTTACCATCTTCTAGTATAATATATTATTTTCTTGTAATTACCTATTATTTATTTTCTGTCTTTCCCAGCTATAAGGTAAAGAGAGCAAGTATCTTGATTTGTTGTTTACTGATATGTTCCAAGGTACTAGAACAGTGCCCAGTATTAAGAAGATGCTCAATAAACATTTAATTAGTGAGTAATGAATAAAAATGAGAGACAAAGGACAAAGTAGACAAAAAAGGAACATAGCAGAAACAGAGTTAATGCAGAAAATATTAAAGCAAAAAATAATATCATCAAAGTCTTCAGAAATAAGAGACTAAATTGCATCCATGAAATAAAAATAGGATGAATTAGCAACAACAAAATCAAAAGAACAATTAGAGATTAAAAATAAGTTGGTAAATTAAAATTATGATATATGAAATTTTTAAAGAATAAGTAAAAGGTTTAGAAGATCAAGTGGAAGAATTCTCCCAGAAAGAACAAAAATCTAAAAAGATAAAAAATGGAAACTAGAAGATCGATCCTGCTGATCAACATAAAACTAATATATTTAAAAAATGAAAGAATAGAGAAAATGAAGAAAAAGATTAGGAACAAAAATATTTTAAAAATATTCCAAAACAGAATGACACAAGTTTCCAGGTTGTAAAAAAGCCTCATCTACAGTTTTACTTAAACCATAAAGAAAATTAAAATCCTCACAACTGGACCAATAAGCAACATCATGATAAATGGAGAAAAGATTGAAATTGTCAAAGATTTCACATTACTTGGATCTACAGTCAGCACCCACGGAAAAGCAATCAAGGAATCAAACACTGCATTGGGCAAAAGACTTCTTGAAAGTGTTTAAGAGCAAAGATGTCACTTTGAGGACAAAGGTGTGTCTAACCCAAGCCATGATATTTTCAATAGCCTCATATGCATGTGAACTAGACAATAAATAAGGAAGACAACAGAAGAATTGATGCATTTTAGTTGTGTTTGCAAAGAATATTGAAAATAGCATGGACTGCCAGAAGAACAAACAAACCTATCTTGGAAGAAATACAGCCGGAATGTGCCTTAGAAGTGAGAATGGGTAGACTCCATCTCATATTTTGGTCATATTGTCAGCAGGGACCAGTCGCTGGAGAAGGATATCATGCTTGGTAAAATGGAGAGTCAGTGAAAAAGGAGAAGACCCCTGTCTCTAGAAGACCCTTGTTCTCCAGTGCTGCTATAATAGAAATACTACAGGGGGATGGCTTTAACAAACAGGAATTTATTCTCTTACAATTTAGGAGGCTAGAAGCCCAAATTCAGAGTGCTAGTTCTAGCAGCTGAGGGAAGCCCCTTGACTTTGGGCTCCAGCTCTGCCTCTTGTTCTAGGTTCACTGGAGTTGGAGAGTCTCCTAACTCAGACAGCTTCTGGCTGCTGAAGCTGATAAACCCAAGGTCAGCAGGTCAATGGCACAATCCCAAGTTCAGTAGGCAACACAGCAGGCCACTGGTTCAAGTCCAAGAACAATTCCAAGATTGGCAGGCAACCCAGCAGACCACTGGTTCTAGTCCAGAAACTGGGCATGAAGACTCAACCAAATGCAGGACCCAGATGTGCCAAAAAGCTAGAGGCCTTTTTCAAAGCTTCTCCTTATATACTAGAAGCAGGCCACACACTGAAGTAAACCACTTAGCTGCTCACAGTAGACTCCACCATGGAGGTGATTATAATCTCATCATGGAGAATAACTACATCCAGCTGCTAAAGAACTCAAATCAGGCCCAGCCAAGTTGACACACAACCTTAACTACCACAACCCTCAATGAGACAGATTGACACAGTGGCTACAATGATGGGCTCAAGCATAGCAATAGTTGTGAGGATGGTGCAAGACCGGGAAGTGTTTCATTCTGTTGGACATAAGGTTGCTATGAGTTGGAACTGACTTGACAGCATCTAACAACAACAACTACCACAGTTTTATTTATGATTATTATAAATAAATAATAAGGTAGATAAATAATAAATAAAAGAAGCCTCTCACCAAGCACAACATTGTAACATCTGAGGACACAGGGATAAAAGAAAGATCCTAAAAGCATCACAGTTCCCAAATAAAGAAGAAGGGATCAGACTAGCATAAAATGTCTCAACAATATCAGTGAAAACAAGAAAATAATGGAACAATTTCTTCAAAATTCTCAAAGTAAGCATTTTTATCATAAAAATCAGGGTTTCTAAATGATTCTTCTTGGTTCAGTCACAGTCAACAAAATGAAATTTCAGTTGAATTTGTAAAATTTGAGTGAGCCTGGACAATAACCAGAATAGGAAAAATTAAAGATCAATCTAGTGGTGTAATGCCTAAGGCATTTGACTGCTAACCAGAAGGCTGGCGGTTCAAACCCACCAGCCAATCCTCAGAAGGAAGATTGGGCAATCTACTTCCGTAGTGATATCCCCTCAGAAACCCAAGGTGGGGTTGCTATGAGTCTGATCTGACTGGATGGCAGTGAATTTGGTTTGATTTTTATCCTGCTAGAAACTTAATGTCCTTCTTAGAAAACAAAGGCAACCACATCCCTTGACTGGTATAGTTGGAAATAGCAGTGCTGCACTCAGAGATGGAGACCACACTGGTTTGAATGTGTGTCATTCCTCCCACAGTCCTGGAAATAATCTAATCTCCTACATCAAGCTCCTGAAAGGCCTCACTGTGACTCTTCCATGACTCCCATTCTAGAAATTGAACCTATAATTTTTCCTGTTCTGGTTGTTGTTCCACTTCACCCAAATTTTAAAAATTCAGGTCTGATCTGATTTTGCTTTGTCAGCTACAACTGAACTGGTTTAAAGTCCTGATAAAAATATATGCCCAGCCAACCAATGTATGTCTAGTACAGGCACCACCTGTCTGTCAGTGGAGGCTTGTGTGTTCCTGTAATGCTGAACAGGTTTCAGTGGGAGCTTCCAGACTAAGACAAGCTAGGAAGAAAGGCCTGGCAGTCTACTTCTGAAAAACAGTCAGTGAAACCCTATAGGTCACAATAGTCCAATCCCATTGTGCATTGGGTTCCCATTAGTCAGGGGCCAACTAAACAACAGCTAACAACAACAGCACAACAAGCCTTCAATCAATCATGAGACTAGAATAAAGGCATATTTAGATAATTAAAACCTCAGAAATATACTTACCATTCACCCTCTCTCAGGAAGTGTCTGGAGAATGTGCTCCACCAAAATAAAAGAAGAAACTAATAAATAGGAAGCTATGAGATCTAGGAAACAGGTGATTCAAATCAAGAGAATACAAGGGAAATCCCTAGAACAGTGAAAGGAAGTCTCGGGATAACAGCTGTGTAACAGGCCTATAGAGCAACCTCCCAGTTGGAGCAGAAAGATGGAGAACTACAGGAAAACATAAATGGTCTAACCAGATTACCTAATATGCTTGAATGTACTACAAGGACAATTCTAGTTCTGTTGAAGGTTTGAGTATAAAACTAAGCAAATGAACAAAAACAGAATTAATTATTAACCCAGAAGAAACAAAAAAATTCACAAGAAGGAAATGCAATCATAGCACACTATTTGGCTCAGCTTTGGGCATTACTTAATCATAATAACATAAGCATGGGTTACTGATTTAACTCAACAAAGTGACATAACTCTATTGGCAAGGTGAGATAAAGAAAAGAGAATATGGAAGAGTACAAAATTCTTTTTTCCATAAAAGAAAATCAATTGATAACACCTAAAAATTGTGAATCAATAAATAGCAGTGAAAGCCAAGTGTTTAGAAACATGGCAGTAAATATCAAAAGTTATAGTCAAAAGAGTTACAAGTGGTTGTCACTGGGGACAAACTGGTGGTTTGGAGAGGTAGGGGCTGTTGTTGTTATAAGGGTTGTAATCTTATTTTATTTATTACATGTATTACTCTGATAAGAGTAAATATTAATTTTGAGGGGGACACACTGAGACCAAAAAGTGCTTTTTACTTGACATAATAATAAAGATTCAAAGAGAATTAAAATGAGAATGACTTTCTCACCGGGTGGCTTAATGTTATTTAAAATCACATCTACAAACTTCTTAAAATTATCTAGTGGGACCCACAACCATACATAGAATTGGCAGACAATATTCCTACACAGGTCTTTGTATGTGCTATAAAAAATGACCATATGGGGGGAAAAAAATGAGCACATGCAGTTTAAAGCTAACAGGGGGCAAAGTTAGGATAACTTTTTAGCTACAACTAAGCACCTTGAGGGAGTGAGTACTGGGCCTGTGAGCTGGGGTCCATGGTCACAGAGGACATCAAGCTCAATTGGCACAGCATAGTATACAAATATTGTTCTACATCTTCCTTCAGTGAGTAGCAACTGGGGTCTTAAAACCTTGTGAGTAGCATCTAAGATCCAACTATTGGTCTCTCTTTGTCCCAAGCAAAGAAGAATGAAGAAAATCAAAGACACATGGAAACAATCCAAAGGCCTAATGGACCATGAGAACCTCAGCCTTTATATGACCTTGAGAGCAGAAGAACTAGATGGTACCCAGCTACTAATGCCAACCGCTCAGAAAGGGATCAAAATTGGATATCTTGGATAAAGTAGGAGAAAAATGTGGAATAAAATGAAAAATCTTTAAAAAAAAAAAAAGTCCAGGCATACTGGTCTGATAGGGACTGGTGAAACCCCCAACACTGTGGCCCCAAGTCACAATTTGGGGCTGGAATTGAACTCACTCCTGTGGTTTAACCCTCAACCAAACAATAGATAGGCCTATGAGCTGAACACCTACACCAGGGAGATGCACTCCTTAGAACAGTCAGCCATGGGAGATCAGAAGGGCAGCATTTGCACAGGGAGAAAGGCAGGGAGACAGGAATGCAAAGATAAGAAACACACAGGGAGAGCATAGCCACAAGGAAGAGAGCTGTTATACTGCAGGGAATGTAACCAGTGTCACAAAACAAAATGTGTATTAACTGTCTATGTAAAATGAATCTGCCTTATCATAATAATTTTTTTTTTTTTTAATTATCACTTGCATTAATAATGGCGTTCATCCCACATTTTGGAACCTAGGGAATAGTCTGAGAAATCCTTGTTGGGGCAAGTAGGGCAAAAATATAAGATCATGCTACTACAAGGAGTGTAACTCAAGATGCAACAAGAAGCCTAAATAGTCCAATAATTATTAAAGAAATCAAATTAAATAGTAAAATGTTTTCACAAAGAAGCATCAGGGACAGATTGTTTTACAGGCAAGTTTTACACACTTTGAAGGAACACACTTTTCAAACCTTATTAAAATTCTCTGAGAAAATAGAAAGAACAGGATGATTCCTCCCACTCATCCTGTGAGACTAATGTAATCTTGTAGAGAGTAAGTGAAAAAGGGGAAGACACTCAACAAGACAGATTGACACAGTGGCTACAACAATGGGCTCAAACAGCAGTGATTGTGAGGATGGCACAGGACTGGGCAGTGTTTCATTCTGCTATATATAGGGTTGCTGGGTTGGAATTGATAGTGTAGTGCCTAAGGCATTTGACTACTAAACAGAAGGCTGGTGGTTCAAACCCACCAGCCACTCCTCAGAAGGAAGAGTGGGCAATCTATCTCCATAGGATACCACCTCAGAAACCCAAGAAGGTGTTGCTATGAGTCAGATCCGAATCAACAGCAGTGAGTTTGGGGTTTTTTGTTTTTTGTTTTTGAGTTAACAACAAGTGTAATCATTATATCAAATACGTGTGAAAGGGAGTGTATTTTTATTCCTACAGACTTCTGATTTTAGGAAACGGTTCATAGAGAAATGGGCAAAGGATGATATTGACCCATCTCTGTTTTGAAGTGGAGAGGAAAAAATTAAAGATATAAAAAATGGAAAATTGGTAACATAGCTAATCCAACTTGGGGCTATTGCACTCTCACAGGTATGGAATGGGTTCTTTGATCAAGTTGCCATCTAGGCCCAGAGAACATGGCTGAGATATGCATAGAGGTCTCTCCCAAGGATCACAGTCCTTTCAGTAAATAAGCCCTACTGGATTAATAGCAAAGGTGGGTAGAGACTCTGTGTACTGGGTACTGAAGCTTGAAAGATCATGAGAAAGAGCCTAATGGTGAAAAGCAGTTTGTTAAAACTGGATATTGCAAAAGCAGCCTGAACACCAATGTCCATTGCAGCATTGTTCACAACAGCCAATTAGGAAATAACCTAAATATCCACCAATAGATGAATGAACAAACAAAATGTGATATATGCATAAAATGGAACATTAAACAGCCATAAAGATGGATGAATCTTGAAATCATGCTGAATGAAATAAGCCAGTATAAAAGGACAAATGCTGTATGACCTCATTCACATGAAATAAGCACATGCACACACACACACACACACACATATGCTTACTGGGATGGGAGGGAGAAGAAAAGGGGAAACTTTTGCTTGAGAAGCACTGAATTTGCATAACTGGTGCTAGGATAATGTTCTGGTTACCTAGTGAGGCTCTGACAAGAATATATACCACAAATAGGATGGCCTTATCAGGAGTTTATTCTCTTACAATTTGGAGGCTTTAAGTCCAAGTTAAAAGTGCCAAGCTCTAGGGGCTGTGTGAAAGCCCCTTAACCTTGGGCTTCAGCTCTGCCTCTTGCTCCAGGGCCACTGAAGCTAGAGGCATCTCTTCACTCAGGCAGCTACTGGCTGCTGATGCTAACCAGCACAAGATCAACAAATAAAATGGCACAGTCCTGGTGTTACAAAACCACACAGCAGGCCACTAATTCAAGCCCATTGTAAGTCCTAGGATTCGCAGAGCATGGAAGGCTGCTGAACAATGACACAGCTACATGCAGGGTCCAAGCGTGCCTTAAACCAGAGACCATTCCCCAAGGATTCTTCTTATATATAGGAAGCAGACCACATTCCCTAAGATAGCTACTCAGCTGCTCACAGTAGATTCCACCATGGAGTTGATTAGCAGTCTCATCGTGGGGGATACTACATCCAGCTGCTCAGCCTCTCAACCGGCCTAGCTAAGTTGACACACCAACTGAACTACTACAGATAACTAGGGAAAAGACAGGGATAAGGGTTATACAACATAAAGAGTATAAGCATCGTCACTGACTTGTGCATGTAGAAACTGTTGAACTAGCAAATGTTTTGGTGTATATACTTGCGCCAAAATAAATTTAAAAACCAAACCCACTACCATCAAGCCAATTCTAACTAAGAGTGACCCTATACTACAGAGTAGAACTGCCCCCATAGAGTAACCAAGACTGTAAATCTTTACAGAAGCAGACTGCCACATCCTTCTCTATGGAGCAGCTGGTGGGTTCAAACTGCTGACCTTTTGGTTAGCACCAAAGCACATTAACTACTGCACCACCAGGGCTCCTGCACCAAATAATAATAATAATAATAATAGATATTACAAATGATGCACATGTCTTCCTTGTAAGCAGAAAGCAGGAATTGTGTGTACATAACAGGCCAAGATCCCTAAAGTGTGGGAGAGGTCTTCCAGGTGCAACAGAACTAAACAGAGAGGTTTTATGAAATATCACCCTATCCTTAGATACTTTATGGATTGAACTGTATTCCCTGCCAAAATACTAGTTGGGATCCTAATCACAATACCAGTGGATGTAATCTTATCTGGCAATAAGATTTTCTTTGTATTAATGGAGCCCTATTGGTGGAAGATGTCTCCTAAAGCTTAACATTTCTGAGTAATAAGGAGCAGCATAGATACAGAGACAAGCAAGCACAAGCAGGGAAGATAGACACTATTTGATGACCCCTAAGCAGAAGCCTCTGCAAACTCAGGAACTCTAAGGATTGTCCAACACTAGAAGCTGAAATAGACAAAGAATAATCTCCCCCAGAGTCACACTCTCAATTCTGACTTCTACTCTCCTAAACCATGAGAAAATAAATTTCTGTTCTTTAAAGTTATCCCCTTGTGGTATTTCTGTTACAGCAGGACTAGGAAACTAAGGCAGGTGCAAATGTGAAAACTCTACATTTACAGATTTCCTTTCCAAATTCTATATGAAATTTTCTATTGTGAACTTACTGTGCACGATATATTCTCTCAAAATCTGGTGATCCAGTAACTGCTGGAGGTGTGACTTTGTATTTTAATCTTGCCTTCCCGACCTGTGAAGCAAAATAACCTGCAAGTAAAGAGGAATTTTTTATTAGTCTTTAGGAAAATGCAAGTTTAAACCATGACGAGATACTATTACACACCTATTGTTGTTGTTGTTGTTGTTATGTGCCATCGAGTCAGCCCCGACTCATAGCGACCCCTCCTTGGGTTTCCGAGGCAGTATCACTACGGAAGTAGGATTGCCCAACCTTCCTTCCGAGGAGTGGCTGGTGGGTTTGAACCGCCAGCCTTCTGGTTAGCAGTCAAGTGATTTAGCCACTATGCTACCAGAGCTCCCCTATTAGAACCTAAAATTGAAAAAGGCAGATCATACCAACTGGAGACTAGGATGCAAGAGCAACAGGAACTCTTATACATTATGGGAATGTAGAATGTTCAACCACTTTTGAAAACATTTTGGAAGGGATTTTTCAGTTAAACATACATCAGCCATATCACCCAGCCATTCCACTCCTAAGTATTTAGTCAAGACAAACGAAAACTTATGCCATACAAAGGATTGTACAAAAAAAGATTATAGAATCTGGGAACTGGAAACAACTCAAGTGTCTATCAACAAGTGACTGGATAAAGAAATTGTGGTATGTCCATATAAATGGGAGACTACAAGGGCTAAGGGCTTGGCTGCTAAAAAAAAGTTTGGGGATTTGAACCCACCCAACAACTCCAATGGAGAGAGCCCTGATGATCTGCTCCCATAAAGATTACAGCCAAGGAAACTCTATGGGCCAGTTCTACTCTGTCACGTGGGATAACTTGAGCCAAAATCAGCCTGACAACACCTAACAACAATAATTCAACAACAAAAAGGAAAGAACTATTGATACAAGGAACAACAAGGAAGAATCTCAAAATAATTACACTGAATGAAAGAAGCCAGACCAGTAAAAAAAAAAAAATACTGCTGCATGATTTAATTTTCATAAAATTCTAAAAAATGTAAATGACTCTTTAATGACATAAACCAGATCAGTGGTTGCCTGGAGGTGAGAGAAAAACCTAAAGGAATAGTTTACAAAGAGGTACAAGAATACTTTTGGGGCTAATGGATATGTTCATTAGCTTGATGAGGATTTCACTGGTCAGATATGTGTGTGTGTGTGTGTGTGTGTGTAGATATGTTGCTGTTGTTTGCCGTGGAGTAGACTTCAATTTATAGTGTTGCCATGTGACAGAGTAGAACAGCCCTACAGAGTTTCTAGGCTGTAACCTCATGGGAACAGATTGTGCCACTGGTGAATTTGAACCACTGACTTTTCAGTTAGCACCAAACACTTAACCATTGTGCCAGCAGGAGTCCTTAGATTAGATACAGATACAGATACAAATAGATTTAAACAGATATATACTCAACAGCAACTAATAAAAATATATGTTTATGACTTACATATTGTCATTGTTAGTTGTCATTGAGTAGAATATATATATACACACATATATACATATCTACTTACATATACAACCTCACTTGCTGAAAGTGAAGAGACTTCAAGTACTTACTGATGAAGATCAGAGATTACAGCCTTCGGTATTGATTGCACTTCAACATAGAGAAAACAAAAATCCTCACAACTTGACCAATAAATAATATCATGTTATAGGAAGAAAGATTGAAGTTGTCAAGGATTTCCTTATACTTGGATCCACAATCAACGCCCAAGGAGCTGCAGTCAAGAAATGAAACGACTTATTGCATTGGGCAAATATGCTGCAAAAGGCCTCTTTAAAGTGTTAAGGAGCAAAGGTGTCACTGTGAAGACCAAGATGTGCCTGACCCAAGTCATGGTATTTTCAATAGATTCATATCATGTGAAAGCTGGACAATGAATAAAGAAGACTGCAGAAGAATTGGTGCTTTGAGTTGTGATGTTGCCAAAGAATAATGAACATACCATGGACTGCTACCAAAACCAAAAACCAAACTCACTGCTGTCGAATCAGATCTGACTCCTAGCAACCCCTCCTTGGGTTTCTGAGGCATTATCACTACAGAATGGTTGGGGATGTAGCTCAGTGGTAGAGCACATGCTTTGCATGCATGAGGCCCTGGTTTCAATCCCCGGCATCTCCACTGGTTTAGGAGCTCTGGTGGCATTGTGCCTAAGTCATTTTACTGCTAACCAGAAGGCTAGCAGTTCAAACCCACCAGCCACTCCTCAGAAGGAAGGTTGGGCAATCTACTTCTGGTGGCATTGTGCCTAAGTCATTTTACTGCTAACCAGAAGGCTAGCAGTTCAAACCCACCACTCCTCAGAAGGAAGATTGGGCAATCTACTTCTGTAGAAATACTGCCTTGGAAACCCAAGGAGGGGTCGTGATGAGTCAGATCCAACTCAGCGGTAGTGAGTATCACTATGGAAGTAGATTGCCCAATTTTTCTTCCAAGGAGTGGCTAGTGGGTTTGAACCACCAGCTTTCTAGTTAGCAGTCAAATACCTTAGGCATTATGCCACCAGAGCTCCCATGGACTGCTAGAAGAACAAACAAATCTATCTTAGAGGAAGTACAGCCTGAAAGCTCCTTAGAAGTGAGAATGTCCAGATTTTATCTTTTATAATTTGGTCATGTTACCAGGAGGGACCAGACCCTGGAGAAGGATATTCTGGTTGGTAAAGGAGAGAGTCATTGAAAAAGCTGAAGACGCTCAAAGAGATGGATTGATGCAGTGGCTGCAACAATGGCTCAAGCATGGCAAAGATTGTAAGGATTGTGCAGGGCCAGGTAGTGTTTTATTCTGTTGTACTTAAGACTGCTATGAGTTAGAACAGACTTGACAACACCTAACAACAACACTTACAAATACTTGATATACTTGAGTGTATCCCACCTGAATTTAGAGACCTTCTCAAGAATAGATTTGATGCACTGAACATCAATGACCAAAGCTAGACAAGTTGTAGGATGACATCAAGGACATCATACATGAAGAAAGCAAAAGGTCATTAAAAAGACAGGAAAGGAAGAAAAGACCAAAATGGATTTCAGAAGAGATTCTGAAACTTGCTTTTGAAGGGAGGGAGAGTAGCAAAAGCAAATGAAAGAAATGATGACATAAAAGAGCTAAACAGAAGATTTCAGAGGATGGCTGCAGATGACAAGTAAAGTAATACAAAGAAATGTGCAAAGACTTCAAGTTAGAAAACTAGAAAGGAAGAACACACTTGTCGTTTTTCAAACTGAAAGAAATGAAGAAAACATTCAAGCTTTCAGTTGCAATACTGAGGGATTCTATGGGCAAAACATTGAACTACAGGACTTCCAGCAAGATGGTGGAACAAGCCGACAAGTTATACTCACCCTCTACAACAAAGAAATGAGGAATCCAATTGAAACAGATGCAAAAGATAATCCTGGAACCCTGGGCTTTGAAGGGAAGTATAAAGAAGTAAATTAAATACTGACTAGTAGAAGAACCTGATCAAAAACAGCAAATAAAGAGACAAATGGAGCTGTGGACTATCAGCTGGCCTGATGGTGTGGCAATTTTGAATATTTGCAAGCAGTGTTCCAATCTGGGCAGCAGCTTAAGAATTGGTTCCACTCGTTTGAGAAACCAACTGGTGGCTGACAACAAGAAAGGTACAATACTCCTCTCATTCTCCTTGTACCCCATGTTCTCTTGGTGAATAAAAGTGTGGCTATTCCTGGCGAGGATTCCATCCCAGTCTGGGTACCCTGCCACCAGCTGCCTTCTGGTGCAAGAACTGCTCCCCACACTAGGCACCCTGTTCCCAGCCACCTTTTAGGCCAGTAGGAATTTTTTTTCTGAGACCAGGTACTCTATACCCAGATGGCTTTTGGGATGGCAGAAACATCTCTTCTGGGAACAGAACCTTGTGCCTGGTTCCCTATTGAGACAAACAGGAATTTTGTCTGGGACTAGATGGCCTGCCAACAGCTGTGGTTTGAGCCATAAGGAACTCCCTCTGGTACTGGGTGCCTTGCTTTCAATCACCTTTTGGACAGGCAGGAACTTTTTCTGGGTCTAGATGCCCTGCTCTCAGACACCTTCTAGACCAGGAGGAACTCATCTGAGATCAGGTCCACTGTCACCAGTTGCCTTCTGGGTGGAGAGGAACTAGTCAAAAATCAGCTGCCTTGCTTCCAGTGGCATTTTGGGATGGCAGGAACTTTTTGCTGGTACCAGGTGCCCTACACCAAGCCCCTTTTGAGATGATAGGAATTTTTCCTGGGAGTAAGGGCCCTGTGCCTAGCTTCCTTTTGGGACAGCAGAAACTTTTTCTGAGACCAGTTGCCTTGTCCCCACCTGCATTTTGAGCTGGCAGGAATCCCTCCTGGAACAAGGTCCCTTGCTCCAACCACTGTTTGGGCCTGTGGGAACGTTTTCCAGATTAAGGTGCCCTGGCTACAGACATCTTCTGGGTCAGCAGGAACTCATATGAGATCAGGCCCCTGCCCTAGTTACCTTCTGGGTAGACAGGAACTAATACCAGGACCAGGTGTCCAGCTCCCCACTGCTGTTTGGCCATCAGAAACAGCCTAGGAGCCCTGCCGCACACCTCCTGCTTGTTTGTTTGCTTGTTTAAAAATTATTCTTTTTTTTTTCCTCCTGTCTTTCTTTTTATTTATTTTTCTCTCTTTCCCTTTCCTGGTTCTTTATTTTCTCCCTCCCCTTCCCTTTTCCTGGTTACCTTCTTTTTCTTTTCTTCTTTTTCTCCTTTCATTCTTCACATCCCTTGTTGTGGTTTTTTGCATTTTTCTTATTTTAACATAATTATTTTTCTTTTGCTCTCTTCTTATTCCCATCCTCCCCAGACATTGTTTTATTTCTTTTTATCTTTCTATTCCTTTGTCTTATTTTCTCCTTTTAATTTTTTTTCTTTTCATATGTTGTTTTGTTTCTTTGTGATTGATACTGTTTGCTATTTGTGTTTTTTGTTCTCCTGTTTTCATTTTTTAGTGTTCTTGCATTTTTTGTCCCACTAGTTGGGAGACAGCAACCATGTCCATATGACCCAAACATATCTGGACCTCTTGCAGCCC